TCTATCTTGTGGTCCTGGTGCTGGTTTTGGAGTCTGACTTGTGGTTCTGGTGCTGGTTTTGGAGTCTGACTTGTGGTTCTGGTGCTGGTTTTGGAGTCTGACTTGTGGTCCTGGTGTTGGTTTTGGAGTCTGACTTGTGGTCCTGGTGCTGGTTTTGGGGTCTATCTTGTGGTCCTGGTGCTGGTTTTGGAGTCTGACTTGTGGTTCTGGTGTTGGCCTTGTGGCCTGCCTTCTGGTCCTGGTGTCCTCCTCAGTGGACTCTGATGTGTCTCCTATTGGTCTCTCAGGGTCTGTTCCTGGTCTGTGGGATCCTGACCGGATGTTACTGCTGCTGCTGTCTCTGCTGCTGCTGCAACTGTTGCTGTGGGAAACTCAAGCCGATGCCCACAGGCGAGGGGGCGGAGCCAGACTATGTCTCGCCTGACGATCTGGAGGAGGAGATGCGCAACGATCCTGACGCCGGTGAGGCCACAGGAAGTTCTGAGCTTTTATTTTGATAGTCCCACAGCTGATTGTTGGTTAAATGTTACTGTAAATATTTCCATCATATCTGCGCAACACGTTCTCGCTCCCAACTCATCACATACGGACGCTTGGTCAAGACCCGTCACTTTTTAAAACCATACGGTGTTTCACACGGGAACACCTGGTTGAAAGTCCAGTTTCTGGCTCACCTGTCCACCCCAACCACCTCCTTCCTGTTCTGTTAAATATGTTACACCACCCTTCAGAACGCTACAGGGTTTCCCCAGTGAGTTGACGGGTCTTGACCATATGTGATGAGCTGGGAGGAGAACAGGTCGATCTGAGACGCTATCGACCCCGTGGACTCGTGGATCATTGATGATGTAATGAAAGGATTTTAATGGGATAATTAACGGACTGTAAAATATGAATGTATTTGAATGGAAATCTGCAGAGTTGACCAAATTACTTTAAATCATCCTGTATTTTAAAGAGCCTTCATGTTTTAATGAGGTACAAATTCAGGGTTTAAGGCTTTAATGTTCTGAACCCTTAACCCGTGTAGAAAAACTAATGAAAATTTATAGTTCATTGATTTATCTGTTCTAGTCCGGGGTGAACCCCTGTTCCCTGTAAACCAGCCTCGGTGGTAAATGTTGTGGTGAATGTTAAAAATAAAGCTGTAGATGTTATTTTGTACACTTTAATGTGTTTTTACCCTCAAACCCCATTAATCCTGCAGAAAAGCCCTTTATATGTCTGTCCATGACGTTTCCATCTGGTGAAACATGTGAAATATCCAAAATCAGAGTGCAGACGTAGAGCAGACTCCCTGATCCTCTAGACTCCCTGATCCTCTAGACTCCCTGATCCTCTAGACTCCCTGATCCTCAGACTGCCTGATCCTCAGACTCCCTGATCCTCTAGACTCCCTGATCCTCTAGACTCCCTGATCCTCAGACTGCCTGATCCTCAGACTCCCTGATCCTCAGACTCCCTGATCCTCTAGACTCCCTGATCCTCAGACTCCCTGATCCTCAGACTCCCTGATCCTCTAGACTCCCTGATCCTCTAGACTCCCTGATCCTCTAGACTCCCTGATCCTCTAGACTCCCTGATCCTCAGACTGCCTGATCCTCAGACTCCCTGATCCTCAGACTCCCTGATCCTCTAGACTCCCTGATCCTCAGACTCCCTGATCCTCAGACTCCCTGATCCTCAGACTCCCTGATCCTCTAGACTCCCTGATCCTCAGACTCCCTGATCCTCAGACTCCCTGATCCTCTAGACTCCCTGATCCTCAGACTCCCTGATCCTCTAGACTCCCTGATCCTCAGACTCCCTGATCCTCTAGACTCCCTGATCCTTAGACTCCCTGATCCTCAGACTCCCTGATCCTCAGACTTCTTGATCCTCAGACTCCCTGATCCTCAGACTCCCTGATCCTCAGACTCCCTGATCCTCTAGACTCCCTGATCCTCTAGACTCCCTGATCCTCTAGACTCCCTGATCCTCAGACTTCTTGATCCTCAGACTCTCTGATCCTTAGACTCCCTGATCCTTTAGACTCCCTGATCCTCAGACTCCCTGATCCTCTAGACTCCCTGATCCTCTAGACTCCCTGATCCTCAGACTCCCTGATCCTCTAGACTCCCTGATCCTCAGACTCCCTGATCCTCAGACTCCCTGATCCTCTAGACTCCCTGATCCTCTAGACTCCCTGATCCTCTAGACTCCCTGATCCTCAGACTCCCTGATCCTCAGACTTCTTGATCCTCAGACTCCCTGATCCTCTAGACTCCCTGATCCTTAGACTCCCTGATCCTCAGACTTCTTGATCCTCAGACTCCCTGATCCTTAGACTCCCTGATCCTCAGACTTCTTGATCCTCAGACTCCCTGATCCTTAGACTCCCTGATCCTCAGACTTCTTGATCCTTAGACTCCCTGATCCTTTAGACTCCCTGATCCTCAGACTTCTTGATCCTCAGACTCCCTGATCCTTAGACTCCCTGATCCTTTAGACTCCCTGATCCTCAGACTTCTTGATCCTCAGACTCCCTGATCCTCAGACTCCCTGATCCTCAGACTTCTTGATCCTCAGACTCCCTGATCCTCAGACTTCCTGATCCTCAGACTGCCTGATCCTCAGACTTCTTGATCCTCAGACTCCCTGATCCTTAGACTCCCTGATCCTCAGACTTCTTGATCCTCAGACTCCCTGATCCTCAGACTCCCTGATCCTTTAGACTCCCTGATCCTCAGACTTCTTGATCCTCAGACTCCCTGATCCTCAGACTTCTTGATCCTCAGACTCCTGATCCTCAGACTCCCTGATCCTCTAGACTCCCTGATCCTCAGACTCCCTGATCCTCAGACTGCCTGATCCTTTAGACTCCCTGATCCTCAGACTCCCTGATCCTTAGACTCCCTGATCCTCAGACTCCCTGATCCTCAGACTCCCTGATCCTCTAGACTCCCTGATCCTCAGACTCCCTGATCCTCTAGACTCCCTGATCCTCAGACTGCCTGATCCTTTAGACTCCCTGATCCTTTAGACTCCCTGATCCTTTAGACTCCCTGATCCTCAGACTCCCTGATCCTTTAGACTCCCTGATCCTCTAGACTCCCTGATCCTCAGACTCCCTGATCCTCTAGACTCCCTGATCCTCAGACTCCCTGATCCTCTAGACTCCCTGATCCTTAGACTCCCTGATCCTCAGACTCCCTGATCCTCAGACTTCTTGATCCTCAGACTCCCTGATCCTCAGACTCCCTGATCCTCAGACTCCCTGATCCTCTAGACTCCCTGATCCTCTAGACTCCCTGATCCTCTAGACTCCCTGATCCTCAGACTTCTTGATCCTCAGACTCTCTGATCCTTAGACTCCCTGATCCTTTAGACTCCCTGATCCTCAGACTCCCTGATCCTCTAGACTCCCTGATCCTCTAGACTCCCTGATCCTCAGACTCCCTGATCCTCTAGACTCCCTGATCCTCAGACTCCCTGATCCTCAGACTCCCTGATCCTCTAGACTCCCTGATCCTCTAGACTCCCTGATCCTCTAGACTCCCTGATCCTCAGACTCCCTGATCCTCAGACTTCTTGATCCTCAGACTCCCTGATCCTCTAGACTCCCTGATCCTTAGACTCCCTGATCCTCAGACTTCTTGATCCTCAGACTCCCTGATCCTTAGACTCCCTGATCCTCAGACTTCTTGATCCTCAGACTCCCTGATCCTTAGACTCCCTGATCCTCAGACTTCTTGATCCTTAGACTCCCTGATCCTTTAGACTCCCTGATCCTCAGACTTCTTGATCCTCAGACTCCCTGATCCTTAGACTCCCTGATCCTTTAGACTCCCTGATCCTCAGACTTCTTGATCCTCAGACTCCCTGATCCTCAGACTCCCTGATCCTCAGACTCCCTGATCCTCAGACTTCTTGATCCTCAGACTCCCTGATCCTCAGACTTCCTGATCCTCAGACTGCCTGATCCTCAGACTTCTTGATCCTCAGACTCCCTGATCCTTAGACTCCCTGATCCTCAGACTTCTTGATCCTCAGACTCCCTGATCCTCAGACTCCCTGATCCTTTAGACTCCCTGATCCTCAGACTTCTTGATCCTCAGACTCCCTGATCCTCAGACTTCTTGATCCTCAGACTCCCTGATCCTCAGACTCCCTGATCCTCTAGACTCCTGATCCTCAGACTCCCTGATCCTCAGACTGCCTGATCCTTTAGACTCCCTGATCCTCAGACTCCCTGATCCTTAGACTCCCTGATCCTCAGACTCCCTGATCCTCAGACTCCCTGATCCTCTAGACTCCCTGATCCTCAGACTCCCTGATCCTCTAGACTCCCTGATCCTCAGACTGCCTGATCCTTTAGACTCCCTGATCCTTTAGACTCCCTGATCCTTTAGACTCCCTGATCCTCAGACTCCCTGATCCTTTAGACTCCCTGATCCTCAGACTTCTTGATCCTCAGACTCCCTGATCCTCAGACTCCCTGATCCTCAGACTTCTTGATCCTCAGACTCCCTGATCCTTAGACTCCCTGATCCTTAGACTCCCTGATCCTTTAGACTCCCTGATCCTCAGACTTCTTGATCCTCAGACTCCCTGATCCTCAGACTTCTTGATCCTCAGACTCCCTGATCCTCAGACTTCTTGATCCTCAGACTCCCTGATCCTTAGACTCCCTGATCCTCAGACTTCTTGATCCTCAGACTCCCTGATCCTCAGACTTCTTGATCCTCAGACTCCCTGATCCTTTAGACTCCCTGATCCTCAGACTTCTTGATCCTCAGACTCCCTGATCCTCAGACTTCTTGATCCTCAGACTCCCTGATCCTCAGACTCCCTGATCCTCTAGACTCCCTGATCCTCAGACTCCCTGATCCTCAGACTCCCTGATCCTCAGACTCCCTGATCCTCAGACTCCCTGATCCTCTAGACTCCCTGATCCTCAGACTCCCTGATCCTCTAGACTCCCTGATCCTCAGACTGCCTGATCCTTTAGACTCCCTGATCCTTTAGACTCCCTGATCCTTTAGACTCCCTGATCCTCAGACTCCCTGATCCTTTAGACTCCCTGATCCTTTAGACTCCCTGATCCTTAGACTCCCTGATCCTCAGACTTCTTGATCCTCAGACTTCTTGATCCTCAGACTCCCTGATCCTCAGACTTCTTGATCCTCAGACTTCTTGATCCTCAGACTCCCTGATCCTCAGACTTCTTGATCCTCAGACTTCTTGATCCTCAGACTCCCTGATCCTCAGACTCCCTGATCCTTAGACTCCCTGATCCTTAGACTCCCTGATCCTCAGACTCCCTGATCCTCTAGACTCCCTGATCCTCAGACTCCCTGATCCTCAGACTTCTTGATCCTCAGACTTCTTGATCCTCAGACTTCTTGATCCTCAGACTCCCTGATCCTCAGACTTCTTGATCCTCAGACTTCTTGATCCTCAGACTCCCTGATCCTTTAGACTCCCTGATCCTCAGACTCCCTGATCCTCAGACTCCCTGATCCTTAGACTCCCTGATCCTTTAGACTCCCTGATCCTCAGACTCCCTGATCCTCAGACTCCCTGATCCTTAGACTCCCTGATCCTCAGACTTCTTGATCCTTTGTAACGCTGCAGCCTGTGGATGATGCAGCAGCAGCAGCAGCAGCTTCAATTGAACGAGTTTCTTTGTTTCTCTGCAGACCTTGAAACTCCGATCGTTCAGCAGCCGACCAACGCCAGCGAGAAGACGCAGCTGATCACCGACGGACACCGCAGATACGGAGACACCTACACATGAAGCTGACAGGAAACAGGAAACGCATCACTGCTTTAATGACCCACGTGAAACTGTCACTCGTTCTGCAGCTGGATCATAGAAACACCTTAAATCAGCTCGCTGTAACTAACTGTAGGAACTAAAGTAGAATTTCTAAACTGAATAACTTGATTTGAGGTTGAAGCAACAGTTTGACGTTCTCCTCTCAGTTTCAGATGATTATTTAATTCCCCCAAATTATACTTTTAGCAGACAAGATATATAAAATAAATTAAGATCCATAATAAACAGAAGTGTGTTTAACGGCGCTGCGCCTCAGACTGTTGCTTTAATGATCAAACTGCAGATTATATTTTATTAAACTAACGCTCTGATTGTTGATTCAATGAGTGATAAAGGAGAGGCGGAGCTTAAAACAGGCTGTTAGACTTTAATATTTTGTAAACTATAATCATGATCATTAATATTTATCTCCTGTGTTGATGTAAATAATGTTTTACTTTGGATGTTTCCTTTATGAAGCTCGACGGCTGTAAAAACACTGTTTGGAAAATAAAACCCGGTAACAACACCTGTGATGATGTCATGTGGTGATGTCATGTGCTGTGTGTCCTCCTGTCCTGCAGGGGGCGCCCTCCTTACAGAACAAAGACAGCTGCTGGCTTCATGTTACAGCTTCAACATGGACTTTGTTTTATTATGAAAGGGAACAAGCAGGATGTGATGTAATGGGTGTTAAAGAGACACAGGATGTTTCTATCAGGTCTGTTTCAGCTCGCAGTGCATGCTGGGAAGTCTGCAAATGATTTTTCTTTAAAAACTTTATTTAACGAGTCGTGTGAGCGCTCAGCAGTTTGTTCATGAGAGAAGAACTCGTGTTTAGTCATTTTAAGCTGAATTAACTTGAATACAAATATATACCAACAGTATATATATATATATATGCACTGTATTTACTTATGTGTGTGTGTGTGTGTGTGTGTGTGTGTGTGTGTGTGTGTATACAGTACAGGCCAAAAGTTTGGACACACCTTCTCATTCAATGCGTTTCCTTTATTTTCATGACTATTTACATTGTAGATTCTCACTGAAGGCATCAAAACTATGAATGAACACATGTGGAATTATGTGCTTTACAAAAAAGTGTGAAAACACTGAAAACATGTCTTGTGTAACACGTGTACTTTCTTCAAAGTAGCCACCCTTTGCTCTGATTACTGCTTTGCACACTCTTGGCATCCTCTTGAGGTCGTCACCTGAAATGGTTTTCCAGCAGTCTTGAAGGAGTTCCCAGCGATGCTTGGCACTTGTTGGCCCTTTTGCCTTCACTCTGCGGTCCAGCTCACGCCAAACCAACTCGATCGGGTTCAGGTCCGGTGACTGTGGAGGCCAGGTCATCTGGCGCAGCACTCCATCACTCTCCTTCTGTGTGTTTGGGGTCATTGTCCTGTTGAAAAATAAATGATGGTCCAACTAAATGCAAACCGGATGGGATGGCATGTCGCTGCAGGACGCTGTGGTAGCCGTGCTGGTTCAGTATGCCTTCAGTTTTGAATAAATCCCCAACAGTGTGACCAGCAAAGCACCCCCACACCATCACACCTCCTCCTCCATGCTTCACGGTGGGAACCAGGCATGTAGAATCCACCCGTTCACCTTTTCTGCGCCGCACAAAGACACGGCGGCTGGAACCAAAGATCTCAGACTCGTCAGACCAAAGCACAGACTTCCACTGGTCTAATGTCCATTCCTTCTGTTTCTTGGCCCAAACAATCTCTTCTGCTTGTTGCCTCTCCAGTGGTTTCCTAGCAGCTACTTGACCATGAAGGCCTGATTCGCGCTGTCTCCTCTTCACAGTTGTTCTAGAGACGCGTCTGCTGCTAGAACTCTGTGTGGCGTTCAGCTGGTCTCTAATCTGAGCTGCAGTTAACCTGCGATTTCTGAGGCTGGTGACTCGGATCAACTTATCCTCAGCAGCAGAGGTGACTCTCGGTCTTCCTTTCCTGGGGCGGTCCTCATGTGAGCCAGTTTCATTGTAGCGCTTGATGGTTTTTGCGACTGCACTTGGGGACACGTTCAAAGGTTTCGCAATTTTCCAGACTGACTGACCTTCATTTGTTAAAGTAATGATGGCCACTGGTTTCCCTTTACTTAGCTGATTGGTTCTTGCCATAATATGATTTCTAACAGTTGTCCAATAGGGCTGTCGGCTGTGTGTCAACCTGTCTTCTGCACGACACAACTGATGGTCCCAACCCCATTAATAAGGGAAAAAATCCACTAATTAACCCTGACAAGGCACACCTGTGAAGTGAAAACCATTTCAGGTGACGACCTCATGAAGCTCATTGAGAGAACATCAAGAGTGTGCAGCGCATCAAAAAGCAAAGGGTGGCTACTTTGAAGAAACTAGAATATAGACGTGTTTTCAGTGTTTTCACACTTTTTTGTAAAGCACATAATTCCACGTGTTCATTCATAGTTTTGATGCCTTCAGTGAGAATCTCCAATGTAAATAGTCATGAAAATAAAGGAAACGCATTGAATGAGAAGGTGTGTCCAAACTTTTGGCCTGTACTGTACATTAAGTTCATCAGAACTTGTCTCCATTCTGACTCGTATTCCAACTTCCAACAACAAAGTCACAAGTTGCTGAATGAGGCTTCTTTAAAGACATTGGTCTGCTGGTTTGTTACTGCCTCCACGTTCTCTTCCTTACAGAACACATGTTCCTGTTTTCCACATATAGTACAGTACTACTACACAGAACATGTATAACTGATGTGAGAAGTCAACATTAGAACATAGAACATGTTACTTTATGAGCGTTGAGCTGTGGACACTCCTCCTCCAGACCAAACGTTTCTCTTGTTAATGCTGATCAATAAATTAGTCAATGATTTATTAACCATTTATTAACCTTTTCTGTGTTTGTCTGACCAGCAGGAGGCGCTGCAGCCTGCTCAGCTTCCTCCTGCTCTGAAGCTGTGGACTGTGCCTTTAATAACCCTGTTCTGCTGTCTCACCCCCCCCCCATCACGCCTCCTCCTGACCTTTGACATATAAGGGCATGTCAGCACAGCACCGGCTGACGTCTGTGCGTCTAAAAACAGACCAAGTGCTGCTCACAGCCGTCCACAGGCCTCCAACGCTCCTCTTCTTCTTCGTCTGCTTCTTTATTTCTTTATATTGTTTAATCTCTGGGACGCCTCCCTTGTCCTCCCCCATCGTGTCCTGGTGACGCCTGTCTCCCCCGGGACACTCGCCATCATGGAGAGTCTGGAGAAGCAGCTCATCTGTCCCATCTGCTTGGAGATGTTCACCAAGCCCGTGGTCATCCTGCCCTGCCAGCACAACCTCTGCCGCAAGTGTGCCAACGACATCTTCCAGGTGAGGACACGCACAGGTGAGGACGACAGGTCCGCCCCCCGCCTTAAAGAGACAGCGCCCCCGAAGGCCTCAGCTGAGAGCTTTAGAAGCTGGTCGAACCAGCAGCGGCTGTTGAAACCTCCAGGATGCCGACATCTGAACCAAGAGCTTGTGTTTGTTTATTTATCTTGAATATTGTCCTCTTGACGACAAATGAAAAACAGAATCTGAGTGCAGAGAAGTGGAATTTATTTCTTAATACTTTACAGAGGCAGCGGTACAGTACTTTGAGTACTCACAGGTCTGTGTTTGTTCTCAGCGGCAGCAGGTTCAGAAACAGCTTTTTCTAAAGTAAAAGTACAAAAGTAGTAGCATAAAATAGTACTTAATGTATAGTTCAAGTAAAACTACAACGTACTAGTTGATTGTTGCTCAGAGTTTTATTTTGTGTTAGCCTGTAAATAACTACAGCTGTCAGATGGAAAATGGAAATACTCATGTTAAATACAAGTACCTCAAAATGGTCCTTGAGTAAATGTACTTCATTACTTTCCCTGCTGCTAATAACATTAATGAGATATTTAACAGACACAGTCCTGGACAGAGAATTTACCTTGTTTCTACAAAGTTTATTTATTTAAGTTAATCGCTTATTTTCCTGTTAAAAACTCTCTACCTGTGTGATGCCCCGCCCCCCTGCAGGCGTCCAATCCCTACCTGTCCACAAGGAGCGGCTCCACGGTGACGTCAGGCGGTCGTTTCCGCTGCCCGTCCTGCCGACATGAGGTGGTTCTGGATCGACACGGGGTCTACGGACTGCAGAGGAACCTGCTGGTGGAGAACATCATCGACATGTACAAACAGGGAAGCAGCAGGTAACACACACCTGTTCACACCTGTTCACACCTGTTCACACCTTCATTACTTTAAACATGCTCAGTAGATTCATCTGTAATAATACATCTTCATTATTTATGATTTAGTTTTAATCATCTGAATCTGTAACTAAAGTGTAGAGTAAGAGAAGTACAAAGAAAAAGTATATGAAAATACTTGAATAGAATACAAGTACCTGGAAAATTGTACTTGTTAAATGTTTGTGTGAGTTTTCTTCACCTCAGGATGTTGAAACGGTTCAGCTCATGTTAACAACAACAACAACGACAACAACATGTCTTCAGTTCTCACACTCCTCTCCCCCCACTGCTCTCAGTCTTTGTGCTAAGCTAGGCTAAGCTAGGCTAAGCTAGGCTAGCATGTGCTGAACACACAGAGGTGAACCCGATCTGTCTGACTGCAGGTCAGCAGGACGTTTACCGCTGGTCAGGACTCTGATGAAGGTGGCAGGTGTGTGTTAGCAGTTAGCGGTTAGCGGTTAGCAGTTAGCCGGGACACTCAGACAGACCCCGGCTCTATTTTTAAATGTGGGTCAGTGAGACAGCAGCTGGGCTATTTCAGTAATGTTCCTCCTGCAGGACGACGGCTGATAAACATGTTCAGGACAAACGGTGCTCAAACACTGTCAGAGTTAGACAGGCCTTCAGTACACAGTACTCTCTGACATGCCTAATACTACTGCTTTATATACATTCGCTGTATAAGATATGTAGTTTTGTTATATGATACGGAGCATTTTTAACATCTGGAAAATCAATAAAAGATTAACGTTCATTTACATATGTGTTTTTATGTCCAGTGAACTCTGTCCTTGTTAAATTTAAAAGAAAAAATAAAGTATGTGAAGTTTATTGACATTCTAAATCTTATACTAATACTTTAAATAATTTAATAAACTAATTTAAAAGATATCTCTTTACATAAATATGTCTCTCTATGCTTTACAAATACTGAAATGTTCAGTTCAAAAAGCTATTTGTTTCGAATTAGATGATTTATTTCAAACAACACATTCTCACTCCCAACTCATCACATATGGACGCTTGGTCAGACCCCTTGGCGTACCTTGTGTAGTGTTGGCCTCCGCGGTCAAATGAACAAAACTAAAGATGGTTAACATTGTGAAACGGTGAAAATTGGTTAGGCTTTGGAAAAGATTGTTTTGGGTTAAAATTACTTACATGTCTTCACTTAAATAAGTTTCGTCACGTTACTAACTGACATGAGCTACATTAATTAAAAATGTTCAATAGTGACTTTTTGTTTCACACGGGAAACAAACACTTCTGGGTGAATACAATATGAAATCTGACATGAGATGCATTCACTGTCTACAAGGAGATCACAGATTCAGGATCAGCCTCCCTGTCTGCCTGTTTCTCTCAGCAGTCGACCAGAACCTGAGCAGAAGCAGGATCAGCCGATGTGTGAGGAACATGAAGATGAGAAGATCAACATCTACTGTGTCACCCACAGCGTTCCCACCTGTTCCCTCTGTAAAGTGTTCGGAGCTCATAAAGACTGTGAAGTCGCTCCGCTGGACAACGTCTTCCAAACACAGAAGGTGAAGCTGTCTCTTACCAAGGCAACACAGACACGGGGTTTACACCACAGACACGGGGTTTACTACAGACACAAGGGTTTACACCACAGACACGAGGTTTACACCACAGACACAGGGTTTATACTACAGACACAAGGGTTTACACTACAGACACGAGGGTTTACACCACAGACACGAGGGTTTACACCACAGACACGGGTTTATACAGACACAAGGGTTTACACCACAGACACGGGGTTTACACCACAGACACGAGGGTTTACACCACAGACACGAGGGTTTACACCACAGACACAAGGGTTTACACCACAGACACGGGGTTTATACTACAGACACAAGGGTTTACACCACAGACACGAGGGTTTACACCACAGACACGGGGTTTATACTACAGACACAAGGGTTTACACCACAGACACGGGGTTTACACCACAGACACGTGGGTTTACACCACAGACACTAAGTTTATACTACAGACACGTGGGTTTACACCACAGACACGGGGGTTTACACCACAGACACGAGGGTTTACACCACAGACACTGAGTTTATACTACAGACACGTGGGTTTACACCACAGACACTGAGTTTATACTACAGACACAAGGGTTTACACCACAGACACGGGGTTTACACCACAGACACTGAGTTTATACTACAGACACGGGGTTTACACCACAGACACAGGGTTTACACCACAGACACAGGGTTTACACCACAGACACGGGGGTTTACACTACAGACACGGGGGTTTACACTACAGACACAGGATTTACACTACAGACACGGGGGTTTACACTACAGACACAGGATTTACACTACAGACACAGGGTTTACACCACAGACACGGGGGTTTACACTACAGACACGGGGGTTTACACTACAGACACGGGGGTTTACACTACAGACACGGGGTTTACACTACAGACACGGAGTTTACATTACAGACACGGGGGTTTACACTACAGACACGGGGTTTACACTACAGACACGGAGTTTACATTACAGACACGGAGTTTACACATTTAGATGCTACTTTTACATTAAACTGTGAGGTAGCAGCTTCTCAAGTAAAAGCAATAGCCCACTAGAGGGAGCACTGACCAATCAGCTTCTCTAAAAGACACATTGACTAAAGTGTACAAGTATCTCCATGACCTCCCTAAATGTTTTATAGTTGTATAATGCATGTGTCTGTGTGTGCAGGCAGAGCTGACGGACTGTATCTCCATGTTGGTTGGGAACAACGAGAGGATTCAGGCCATCATCATTCAGCTGGAGGAAACCTGCAGAGCTGTCGACGTGAGTTCATCACCCATCAACACTTTCTAACTTCACTCTATTAAAACTACCGTGTGTGAGAATGTGAAGCATTCTACATGTATTATTCACTTTGTGTGAACAGATTGTAACTTAAATGTAGCCTGAGGATGGATATCTATGCAAAGGAGTAAGGAAAGCGTTTCCCAAGAGTAGTTTATTCGCGCTCCAGAGCGCCTTGTTGGGGTGGCGTTTGTTCCGGCTGATCTGGCTATGTAGTTGGAAGGTCACCTGAACTTGTTGCGCATATTTCTGTCATAGGCTGCCAAAGTGAAACAGTATTACGATCACTTCCTACTAGCAAAGAGCGATTCAACCTGCTAACTGTAAGCTAAGCTGAGCTGGCTGTGGCTTGGCGGCATGGATCAGGTGTTGGTTGCTTTGTGGCGCTGGCGTTGGTTTGCTAACAGCAGTCCGTATCATGAAGCCAGGGGTCCAAATATAATATAGGACCATTACAGACAGTAACGTTACTCTGAATGTGACTGTAATATATTTACAGCATTCAGCGTTCAGTCTCGCGTCCAGTGTTGTGGCTGATGTATGACATATACAGTACAGACAATATAAAATACCTTAAGTGGTTAAGTGTAAAGTTCTTACTGGCTTTCCATAAAGTGCTTGATGCAGTCTATCCATTTGTATTTCCCATGTCATGTTTGTGGTGGGGGTACAGATAGGGGTGGAAAGGGGACATTTGTTGATCACACTGATTGCCTGGGGTATATACTGTTCTGAAGTCTGGATGTTTGGTGCCAATGCTTAAACTTAATGAGGTAGAACAGTTGTGTTTTGGGTTAGTTGGATCCTTAATGACACTGCAGGCCCATCTGTAGATTCACTGATGGTAGATGGCAGTGAGGGAAGACCTGTCCCTGTGATCCTCTCGGCTGCCTTCACTACCTGCTGCAGTGTTCGATCAAACTATTATACCAAACAGGTGCTAATGATCATTGATTCAATATTTAGGCTGAAACACAATCATGAAGTGAAACAGAAGCACTGTGTAAGAGGAATAAACTGGTGAGGAACCCTCCTGTTTGCTGTGAAAGTCATTCACCAAAGCAAGACTGAGCACAGCAACAAGACACAAGGTAGTAATACTGCATCAGCAAGGTCTCTCCCAGGCAGATGTTTCCAGATGCTGCCCGAGCTCTTCTGAAGAAGCACAAAGAAACGGGCAGTGCTGAGACCACCGATGCAGAAACGTCTGGCAGCAGATTAAAGACACTCACGCTTACTTCCCTTCACAGTCTGACGATGTCCAGCAGAGACATCAGCTCAGAGCTGCAGGACAGTGGGACCCTGGTCCACCATCTACTGTCAGAGTCTGGTCAGAGGTGGCCTTCATGGAAGACTTGCAACTATGGAAACAAGGCCAAGTGACTCAACTCTTCAGGAATCACAGGTGCCAAAAAGTCAACATGTGAAACATCTGGCTGCACCAGAAGGCAGGTTGTTCACCAAAGGGCTGGAGGGTCTGAATGAATGGTCTCCTTAATGCTGAGAAGTACAGGCAGATACAGTTCCACCAGGGAGGCCTCTGATTGTCCCCAAATTCATTCTGAAGCCTGACAACGAGCCCAAACACACAGCGAGAGTCATTAAGAACTATGTTCAGCTGAAAGAAGAACCAGGAGTCCTGGAAGTGATGGTGTGGCCCCACAGACGCCTGATCTCAACATCATCCAGTCTCTCTGGGGTCACACGAAGAGAGAGAATCAACTGAGGCTTCCTGAATCCACAGGAGGACTGTGGGGAGTTCAAACAGAGGTTTGGACGGACCTACCTGCTGAGCTCCTTCGAAGACTTTGTTCAGGTGTACCTGAAGAGCTGATGCTGCTGGTCTCACCAGACACTGCTTTGATTTAGATGTTTCTTCTGTTCACTCACTTTGCATTTTGTTAATTGATAAATTAATTAAATAAATTATTAATGTGTCTATTTTTGAAAGCATTCTTACTTTACAGCATTGTTTCCCCCCCTGCCTTCATCTCAGAACTCAGAAGGTGATGCAGCGTCACAGCGGGTACCTGAGGTTTACTTCACCTGTGTTTTCAGGAAAACGGACGCAGACAGAAGTCAAAGGTGTGCGAGACGTTCGATCACCTGTTCGCTCTGCTGGAGGAGAGGAAAGGTGAGATGACCCTGAGGATCAACTGTGAGCAGGAGAAACTCGACTACATCAGAGGTCTGAAGAGGAAGCACACCGACCACCTGGAGACCGCCGCCAAGCTGCTGGAGACCGCCATCCAGACCCTGGACGAGTCCGAGATGGCCGTGTTCCTGCAGGTGAACCTGAATGCACCGAGGAGGTTTAAATAATCCCAATTGACAGAAAGTTATCCAGATAAATTCAAATTAAATTCAAATTTTCAAATATTTTCTTTTTTTTTACAAGGAATCCGGCTGGAAAGGTTAAAATAAAATATAAATCCAAGAAACATGAAATAAAAAGACCCATTTCCTGGGTCCCCCCTGACAATACCCTCACCTTTGATCCCTAATAATAACTCAATCCTGCTGTTAAGTGCCTTACAGAGTTATCTTATAACACTCTTATTTGAA